TTGAATATGACAGGCACAGGGGTACTTTCCACTGTTGGTAGCAACTAAAAGAATCAAATAACAAAACCACAATGTTTATCAACCAATACATCTAAAGATTATAAAATATACAGGACATCTGATGATTGGGGGCCTGGCTTAAGTGTCTTCCTAGTAAACAACAACAACAACAAAGAAATAAGATTTTGATGTAAAAATTCCTTTTTATGCTGTTGTAACAGGATACCACAGACTGAATGAATTTACAATAGATGGAAATTTATTTGGCTCCTGGTGGTTCTGGAGGCTTGCAAATCCAAGATTGAGGAGCTAAACCTGCAGAAGGCTTACTTGCTGCATCATAACATGGCAGAAGGCATCACAAAGTGAAGTAGAGAAGGGTGCAGGAGAGGGAGAGAAAGGGGCTGAACTCAAGAATTCATCCCTTAAAAGGAACCAGCCCCCATGATAATGAACTTGCTGCTGTGATAATGGTACTAATCCTCATGACCACCTTTTAAAAGACAGAATCCTCATGACCACCTTTTAAAAGTTCCCCCTTTAACACTGTTCCATTGAGGAGTAAGTTCCCATCATGTAAAACCTAGGAGATATGTTCAAGCCATGCCAAATATTTATTTCTTCTCTTTAGCAGATACAACATGGGATTACACATTTATCTGGCATTTTGTGATGAAAGGCTGTAAAACTTGCAGGCAGAGTAGTCATCAAGCAAAGTTGGAACAATTAGCTTTCACTTACCATCTGTGTTGCAGAATTAGTCTTCTTCTACCAGTATGTTAGTGAGAACTATAGGAACTATTATCAAAGGAATAAGGAAATGTATGCATACCTCCATCACCAGAATGACTATTAAGCTAGACTGTGAATATGCACTTATCTGTTTTTTCCTACTTTACATCAGGGAATAATGGTCAAACCTAGTCCTTCTCTTCACTTCAAATTCCAGATAAATACCTGAAAGACCAGGGCTAAATAAATATTTGTCAAATATTAACTACATGAAGAGGAACAATAATGCACTTAGTCCTGCTGATGCAATGGTGTAGTTGAAGGCTGAGCAAAAGGCATCTAGGCAGCAGATAGTTAATTGAACATTAATGACATTCTTCCCAACTGCTAACCTTGTTAGGCTCGGAGATCTCACCATGGTATTCATAGACACTAGAGTATGCTCATGCTCTTCGTACCATCAGTGATTGTTTGATATTTCAGTTACAATCAAATTCTGCTTGTCATGGGAATTCAACTAAGGACAGAGTGAGAATGAAGGAAGAGGATACATGGCCAAGCAGATTGAACTACGCTGCCGGCCCTGCTCATTTCATGCCTGCTGTCTATCCAGGTGCCTTCTCTAGAGTGTGAACTCAATAGGAAACATAAGAACTTGACTCTAATTAAAGTGCTTTTATACTATCATTCATGTCCAGCATTAAGTCATGAAATTATAGAGTTGTGGTTAACATTTTTTAAAAGTAGGATAGCATAGTGCTGAAAATGAAGAACCAGGATTCCACAGTATAAAGCAAGTGTAAGTATTGTATTTTGAAATTTTTATGTGTGTGTGAGCATGTGTGGGCATACCTGTATATAGATGTATACATGTGGAACTATATACACACATACATAAATACACAATGAATATATGCAGTCACAGTATATATATATATATATATATATATACATATATATATAAGATATGAATGAATGCTAGATTACTAGATCACATGGATTTGCCCTTCATTCCCTGGCCAAAAAAAACTTATTCTATTATACTGGAATTTGGTTTCCTATTTGTAAAATTGGGACAGAAATGTTTCCTAAACTCCTTGAAATATAATCAAGTAATTACTGTTTCTTTTGTGAGTCCGTGAGTACAAATGACACTTTATTGAAAATTAACTGTTCATCTTATAACCATATCATATGACCAGTACTTTGAAAAAGGAAAAGGATACTTCTGAGTGGTGAAATTATAGTTTTTGAAAAATATTTGTTTTCTCTTTATGTGCTATTATCTGTAGTATCACATCCTTTAAAATGAGAAAACTGTGGATATATCTTTAAATTCAAGTAAGCCTTCAACGTTCTTCTTATTACAGAGGAAACTGTTATCACAAAGGTCTTAGAAGAAAAAAGAGAGCAAAGATTTAAAAATAGCAGAACAACTTCAGGGGGCAAAATATCTTTTGGTGGTTTTGTTTTGTTGATAGGGACATGACAGGAGGTAAGTGCCTAGTTTGTGGACATTTCCCACTGCCTGCCTCCAACCAACACCAGGCTTGGGAGGGAAGGGGTGGATGGACAGTTCAAGTACACTCAAGCTTATTACTCCATAAATGCTGAACAACAGGGAATTGTGTGTGTGTTGGGCTTTTCCTGGTAAGGAAGACCTCTCTCAATGCCCTTGCTGATAAAGACAGCAACTTGAAAGTGTTCTCAGAATAGTTAGACCACAGTGATTCTGAAGTAAAAGCATATGAGGCCCAAGATTCCACCACTGGTTCACTTGGAAAAATTTGTTGTGGCCCTTTGTCCCTTTAACTCACCTCTGTTATGGGATACAACTGAGTGTGTTGTTTGAGACAGACAGCAGAAGAGGAATGAGCAAAATAAATCATACCATTCTCATCTCGTTTCCAACGTTTTCTCCTGAAATTTCATTGGCTCTGAAGAACACTGGTGTTATTGTAACCCTGTATTGCTATCTGTCACAAAAAAAATTGCTTTGCTAAACACAGCACTCCAAACTGACTGGGATGGTATTTTGGAAGCATTATTGATAGCAAGAATTAATATTTGGTGTTATTAAGCATGAAGAACTACACCAAATGTTTTACAGATGCCACTTCTTTAGTCCTCACAATAACCATGAAGCATATACTCAGATTGTTTCCACTTCATGGATGAGGAAACAAGACATAGAGGGAAAGTGAATGTAGCACAGCCTTGAGAGCCATGCTAAGGACTTTGAATTTCATTTTATGAAGGGAAGTGCCATAATTATATCTGTGTTTTAAGAGATAATTTAGGTAAGAATGCATGAAAGCTATACAGGAAGGGAAAAGCACCAAGTGGATGAAAACTAAACAGGAGACCATTGTTCACTCTCTTTCCCCATAGACTGCAGCCCTGCAGAACTATGAACTTCTGTCCAAATATGCCGAGGACTTAACAATCATGCATCTTTCTGTCTAGTTTTTCATGTTGTGGTAGTACCACTCTTCCCTTTGACCCACTAGCAAACCCTAATCCATCTACAAGAGCCAGTTTATGGGTTCATTCCTTTCTGAAGCATGGGCTACCATGCTACTTGTTTGTGTGAATGTACAATGTGAAACCCAGAGCAGGGAGATAGGAACCAGACTGATTTATACAGCTTCTAACAAGCCGTGGCCTTTCCTAGACAGTTACCTCAACTCTGTGATGGGGATTATATTACCTAACTCACAATGTGGGTGTAGAAATTTTAGATGACGTTTTAGCACTTTATAAGCCTCTAGAAATTGTGTCTATTTTAATTAATTTGTCATCCTAAGGTGTCCCTTTTTCCCAAGAGACTGAATGACATCATAGTCTCATTTCCCTTAGGAGTTTAAACATACCATTATATAAACATTGTCACCTTAGGTCGAAATTGCCTAGTTCCTAAAAAAGCATCAGTGGCTTTCTTCTGCCTCAACTAGATTCTGCCTTCTTGCCCATTGTAGTATGCTGAATAATGTCGCCTACCACTAAGATTCCCATGGCTTGATGCCTGAAACCTATGACTAGGTTACCTCATATGGCTAGAAAATAATTTGGCACATGTGTTAGGATGTTAAGATAGTAAGGTTATTCTGGTTGATCCAATTGGGCCCAATGTGTACACACAGCTCCTTATTAGAGAATGTCAGAGGACAGGGGAGATGTGACAACAAAAGCTCAGGCTGGAATGATAAGCTTCAAACTTGGAAGAAAGGGCCCCAAGCCAAGGAATGGAGGTGGCTTCTAGAGGCTGAGAAAGGTAAGGAGAAAGACTGCCCTCTAAAGCCAGAAGGAACACAGCCCTGAGGACATGTTGAGTTCAGCCCATTAAGACTTATTTTGAATTTGTGACCTTCAGGACTGTGAGAAATAGATTTGTGTTGTGTAAGCCACTGAGTTTGTGAGAATTTGTTACATAAGCAATAGGTAACTAATATACCCATGTTGTAACATCTTCTTTTCTCCCCAAAGTGTAGTAACATCTTCCCAAAGTGTGAATGAAAACTTCAGCTTGCACTGTTCCTGGTTCCATGGCTGTTTAACATGTAATCTTAACACCTCTAATGTTAGGGAATGCAATGGAGAATAATGAGCTGCAAATAATGCAACTCCTCAACCTATAAATGCCCAGGGGGAAAAAAATTCTATTCAAGACATCTGCATGCTTAGAGGAATACTAACATGTAAATATAAAAAGAACAAAACTGGTAGGTTTGCAAAATAGGGATCCTTTGCAGGCAGCATTATGAATATAAAAACTATTTTTAATTTTCATTTTTATAGAATATCAACATTTTCAAAAAACTTATAAAGATTAAGCTATTTTAATGCAGTTTCCCAAACTATTAATAGAGTAACGTTAACTATCCTTTTCAAATTCTATTTGTATTAATTTTCTAATAATAATGTAGTAGAGTCTATGTCTTAAAAGGGATAAATTTAGGGTCGGATTTATTTACTTAATTTAAAAAAAAAAGAGCCTAGGAGACTAGTAATGCTTAAATGCTATTATTAACAAAGGTAACACATACAGTGAATATGCATATATTAAGTAATGCAGTCACATAAACATGCAAATATCTATCAGCCTACATGTAGCACCAGGAAATTTATTTCTTATAAAAAACCCTTCTTCAAAATATTTTTTTTTTTTGCTTAAAATTCTTGAGGTGTTTTCTTGTAAGAAAATATGTTATGGCATCACTATTTTCTGCTCTATTATGAAGCAATATTTTGACAAAATCACAACTTGATTCATATTATTTATTTATTTAAGATTTGAAGGATAATATAAGCATTAGAAGATTCTTTTTCAGTTAGAGCGAAATTGTGTGTGTGTGTGTGTGTGTGTGTGTGTGTGTGTGTGTGTGTGTGTGTGGTGGGGGGAAACACCCAACAATGTTTATAGCAAAATACACATTTAGCCAGGTAGAAACTAACTGTCCAGGAGTTTCTTCATTAATCTCTTAAAGAGGGAGACCTGCCGATCAAGGCAAATTTTCCTTCCACTCTTCAGTGTAGCTCTGCAGCAAAAAACAAAGACATGCACCTTTGGTGCCCTGATTCCAAAACAAGATCATACAGAGGGACAGAGGGACAGAGAGGAAAAAGGCAGCACCAACTGCCCAGGGCCAGAACTCACATCATCTGGGCTGTGGCACAGTGGGGTCCTGCCTTGATCACCTCCAGTTTGAAGATGTTTTCAGCATTGACTTTGGACTTGGTTTTTACACACACACAGTGAGAGTCCCCATCTTCTGCAGGGTGGCAGAAAGGGTGGGAGCCAGGAGTAGGGGAGGGAGGGGGATTTCAGGAGTGGCCAGAGGCACCTGGGGAATCTCCCTGCCCCACCCCCCACCCCAGCCCTTGGCCTTCTTTTCCTTAGCAGCGAATTGCATTTCCAGAGGGAAGGTATATTGACTCAGTGGCAGAGCACTTGTGCAGAGCTTGACACAGTGCCCACACACTTCCCAACCCCAGGACAATAGAGCTGGAACCATTAACATTAAGGACACTGCCTCAGCCCCCCGGGGGTTCCCGGAATCAATTCCCTCTGCTCCCCTGGGTCGGTCCCTCCCCGCCTTACTTTTGCTCTCACCTCCTCTGGCGACTGTGACCACAGCTGATAGGAGCAATAGCCCCAGGAGCAGCAGCCCAGGGTAGAGCTGGGGGCAGAGGCTGCAGGAGCGCAATATGAGGCCCATGTCCTGGAGTTTCCAGCAGGATCCAAGTGCTCAAGGCAAGTGGGGGCTAGGGTTCCCAGGCCCGCGGCTCCAGCATTGTCCCGCCTCTTTTATCTCTCCTGCTGCTCCAGTCCAGAAACCTGGGATGGGGAATGAGGAACTGGGGTGAGGAAGCTAAGTCATTTCACAGAAGAGTTGGGCTCTAGCCAGGCAAGATTAAATAAAACAACCCAACAAAGGGATTTCTTGGCCTTAAGTTGGCAGCAGGAGCCACATCTCCTACCCTAACTGAAATGTGCACACATTTATGTAGTTTAAAACACTAGTGCTCAATCTTATTAGGTCTATGTTTTCTTTATGTGGAACCACAGAGCGCTCTGTGGTCACCATGCAGTTTACACAGTGTATTCCTTTGAGACCCAGACAAGTTCTGTTTCCTTCTTAACTAGCTTCTGCATTACCAAAAACTGCCCTTAGACCCCTGCCTTTCTGGTTGACTTCTGTTGAGTTTGGCTACTACTGTGTAGTTAAAGATGTGTTGTTTATAATCCGCTATTGAAAACTGGAATTCGTTCTCTAGGCAATGACAGTCTTCAGAATGTTACCTGAATGTGGAAGCCTTCTCCAGTCTCTTGGATGAGATTTACCAGCTTCACTAACCATCTTCCCATATACTGTAAGAAGCAAGGTCAATTATCCTCATTACTCATAATCTTAGATATATTACAAAAATTGTATTTGATTAAAAAAAAATATTGGAGCTTGAATGATTCTCGATTTGTCTTCATCCCGGATAATATTCCAGAAGAGAGAACAGGAGAGTTTGGTGGGCCACGTGTCCCAGTCCCAGTGAAGGGTGAGATGGGCTGTTTTGCTGGTGGGGAGCAACAATGTTCTCTGAAGGAGGATACAGAATCTGGGAGTTGAGTGTGTAAATGATGTGGAGGTAAGGGTGGAAGGTATGCCACAGAGTCCCACACAGGAAAGGTGAAGAGATCAACATGAACTGTCTTCCTTTTCTTGAAAAAGAATGGCTTGGGTGTTATCAGGACTAGGTATATGCACATTCCAAATCTGGTATATGCTGGATTCTCTCTGTCACACTAATTAGTATTGGTGAAGGATATTTGGAGACTGCAGCATGGAATTAGCTGACATCCAACTGCTCTGCAGCATGGAATATCTGCAGAAATGTGCATAGTTCAAACTGAATCCCTGGGGCTGGAATGTTCTTTCTCCTATTCTCTCACCACCTGTCTTTTTAGTTGGCTAAGTTCTGTTCATGTGTTTGGTATTGGTTTAAATAACAACATCCTCAGAGGAGCCTGAAGTGACACTCTATTATGCTCCTTTGTTGTTCTCTCTTGCAGCACCCCAGCCTTTCCCTTTTCACATCCATAATACACATATACATGTTATGCTCAGACGCATGTCTTGGAGTGTGTTTAAAATTTTTTTTTCTTTTTGCCTCAATGGAAAGCTCTAGGAGGTTAGAGGTCATGTTTATCACTATTTTAGTACACTGGTAGGGGCCTAATAAATATAGCTACACTGAGAATGAACAACACATGTTGAAAATGATTATGAAGCTCTGACTTATTTAAGCATTTGTTCCTTTATACAATTGCAGCAGATCTCTCCATACTGACATGTGCCACATATAATTTACTCTTCTGTCCACATGTCTGCCTCTCTTAACTGAACAGTGAGTGAGATCTTCAAGGGCAATTCTCTATGGCATATATTTTTGAAAATTGAACAGCTAATATAATGGTTGTTATAGGACAGGTCGTAAATCATATGTGTTTATGGAACTGAAACTTGAGTCTCCTTTTGGGTTAGCTACAATGGAAATGGAGAGGAGGGATTCTTTAGAGCATGGACAGGCAAAACACTTGATTTGTATAACCATATTCCCAGATTTTAATAATTTCAAAGTAAAAAGGAAGCCAGGCAATAGTGAGTGACAATAAAATCATCCTTTCTATGCATTTACACAAAATAATTCAATGTGTCCACACAACAATAATAAATGGCCCATGTATCTTAGAGATGTAAGCATGGTACAAACACTGTGTCATATCTCATGAGATGGCCCTGTCACCCTTTTGTAGGAAACCACTATTGACTGAGATGCCTAAGCTCCTTTTAATTTTTGGATAAAAACTAATGAAAATGGCTGCACTGTCTGTTTACACTTTTGTGCCATACTTGTGCATATTTTTGTTACCTAGTACATAATAAGTATATTTATTTTATAGGCAAAACATTTTAAGGCACTGAAGTTATGACAGTGAGGAGATAATATAAGGAGCCCTTAATAAAGCAAAGTTAAAATGAACTACATTCTTAGTAGGTATATGTTTCCGAAAGTCCCTTTATAGGTCAGAATTGGTGAACTTATTTATTTTCCTATGATCAATACCATACACACAGTATGGCATTTGTGTACTAAATACTATTTTCTGTAACATCAACATTATGTGAAAAATAATATAATTTAGTTAGAGAAAGAAGAATCAAGGAAAGTGGTATGGTATAATGGGTTAGAATCCGATTTCAAATCCTCACTATGATTACTCTGCTCACTTAGTATCTGATGTTGGGGTGAGTTTCTTTTCTTTATCTCACCCCATCTTTCTTTTTTTTCATTGTTGGTATTAAAACCCCAAGCCTCATACATGGTGGGTAAGTCCTCTATCACTAAATTTCATCCCTAGCCCAGTGTGAATTTCTTCAGATCCATCTTCAGATTTCTTCTTTGCCATACTACTACTATCAATAGTAAACAATTACTAATATTTATTTGTATGACATGCATTGTTTTAAGCAGGTTGAATTTAACAATTCTTACTCCTCACATCAGCTCTCTGAGATAGGCAATTACCTGATCACCATCTGAGAGATGAAGCAATCCAATCAAAGTCAAACAGCCAACAAGTGGGGGAGCCAGGTTACCTAATTATTCAGGCTCTGAGAAAAGTCTTTTAACCAGATCATTGCCATCTTGTCAGAACTATTGAATCAATGTATGTAAAACACTATGCCTGGCCTTTTAATAGTGATTAGTAGTTTCTGATTAATATATCATGTAAAAATCCCAGAGATTATCAACTTTGTGAATTTTGTTGGCAATATTGTAAAATACCAAAGTGTAAAACAAAAACAAGAGAGAGAGAGAGAGAGAGAGAGAGAGAGAGAGAGAGAGAGAGAGAATTAAAACTCTTTCTCCAAGTCTATAAATTGATAATATATGATAAATAAATAAATAAATAACATTTTGGTTGGTGGTCATAGTTCCGTAAGAATAGCATGGGTATAAATTTTATGGATTTAGAAATTGATGAAGAATATATTGATTTTAAAAAGAACACTTAATATTCTAGTAAAGTATAAATTCTCTGTTGTACTTATTTGTAAGTCCAATTCTAATACTGCAATTGTAATCATGCACACATTAAGTAAAGGCAAATATATACAAAATGCCAGAGTAAAACATTTAATATAAAATAAATCTATCACTTTCTCTTTTCTGTTTCAAGAAATGCAAGAGTGTTTTTTTTATAAAGAATGTCAAGGCTTTCTTCACCATATGTTTTCTTGTTCTACTAGTGTTAAATGTATTCCCTTTAAAGTAAATAAGTATTGCTTACAAGACTTACATTCTACAACTTTATTATTTTTAGGGTTTGAAGGCAAAATAAACATTAGAAAAATTTCCAAAGGATACTTTCAAACAAGCCATCTAGAACAAAAACATTGAAAATCTCTAGTGCCTAAATACACTTAAAAAGCATTTATTGAGCAAGTATTCTATGCTTGGCTCTACATGATCACTAGTGTCATTGACTATTGTAAAAATCTGTTAATCATCATAGTAACCTTGAACCTAACAATAGAGAAAGAAAAATTATACAAATGTATTTGGAAAGAAATTTTTTTCAACTAAAGAAATGCAAAGCAAGTACAGTGTTTAGCCTAAAACTGGGGAGTAAATCTTAAATTGTATGTTAGTCTTGCTTATTTTCATCTTCTTTCTGTCGTCTTTTAAGCAGAGTTCTCAGAGTCAAGTAGGATTTGGAGGATAGAATGGAAAATGTACCTGAATTTTTGTATAGTATAAATGTGTATATGAATAACTAAAAACTCTAGAAAGTCAAGGCTTGAAAATCCTACCCTTCCTGGGAGATTAAAAAGGGGTTGGTAGAAAATAAACAGATTAAGCAGCTGATTCATCACTTTCCAACAGTTTCTGGATCATTTTCTTGACTCTGGAAGCTTCTCACCCTGCTCTCTCCTACTTCCCTCTCCCTCTCCCTCTCTCCCTGTCCCCCAACCCTCTTTTGACTTTGCTCCCACCACTGTGCTTCCATCAGCCAGGAGGTGATGCAGCCAGAACGAGCCTCATAAGAGCCAGTACAATGCTATTTGGGCTTTGGACTTCTAAAACTGTGAACTAAAAATATCTCTTTTCTTTACTTTTTTAAAATTTTTTATTTTTATGTGGTGTCAGGGATTGAACCCAGTATCTCAAGCATGCTAGGCAAATGCTCTACCACTGAGCCAACTCTTTTCTTTATAAGCTACACAACCTAAGTTATTTCATGATAATAATGAAAAAAAAAAAAACCAATACAGCATTCATTTTATCAGTTTAGCAAACCCAGGGCATTTTCACTTGTTCCAGCAAAAACTCTAGACACTGTTTCTGACTTCACCAGGCTTAGATCATTTTCCCATTTCTGAATCAATCAGCAGTGGGGAACAGGTTTGGACAGAAGCAATTGAGAAATGGTTTTTCCTGTTTGAACCCCTGGACGGAGAGCAGGTATGACTAGATGAAAGAAAGAGGGTAGCCAGAGAAGCAGTGTTGGATACTGAATGGTGAAGCTGCCCTGAACCTGACACTAATGCCCTTGAGTTGTGGGGGGAGATAAAGCCTAGAATTTGATGGCATGCTTTGATATCTTCATTGTTCCCCCTTCAAAACAAAGTCATTGTGTCATTTTAGGGAAATAGGGTTGGCAGTTGTGAGACAATGAGTCCCTGAGGCAAGCTGGAGGAGAACAGTGGAACTACAGTGCCCACCC